AAAATGAACACCATTTTCATTATAGTCTGTTAGCCTAACCAACTAAACACCCTAATATTTGATCCAATATTCTTTTTGCACGCCTGCAAAAAATTTTTAACCGCAACAAGAGCTTAAAAAAGCGCATAGGCAAAAAAAAAGCGCATATGTAAAAATGTTTTTGTGAAAACACTTTTACACATGAATATTTATAGTTTAAATAAATCATTAAATATATCAAATTATCTTATTTAGAATTTAAAACGTAATGTTTTAAACATTCATTTTATCATTTTTAATGTAAATATTTTATTTAGAACTTAAATAAACTGTTTTTGTTTGTTTGTTATTATTTTTGCTTTTAACTTTTTTCTTATTGTTTTTATTTTAACTATTTTAATATAGAATTTGAATAAAACATTTGTTTTGATGTTCTTATTTAAATTATTTTATTTAGAAATTGAATGTTTATCTTTTTATTTTTACTTTAATTATTTTGTTTAGTATTTTTATACATATTTTATTTTTTTGCTATTTTTATTTTAGTTATTTCATCTCAAATTTGAATGAAATATTTGTTTTGCTGTTTTTCTTTTTATTATTTTATTTAGAAAGTTATTCAAATCAAATATATATATTCTGAAATCAAATCAAATATATATTCTGAATAAAGTTGTTACATCAAGGATATTTACAAATAGTAATTTGTACTAATATAAAGTAAACACCTGTCAAACTAAATAAAAATAAGACGGAGATAGTAATAATAATAATTATAATACAAGTAGGAATAATAAAAGTAATAGTAGTGATTATAGTGATAAAAAAAATAATAGTAGCGATTATAAAAAGAATATACTATAATAATAATAATAATAATAGCAATAATAATAGCAATAATAACAACAACAATAATAACAATTACAATAATATTCATTATGATAAAAATATAGTAATAATAACAACAACAGTGATAAGAGAATACTTTAGAAACATGTCAGTTTATAATAATAAATTTAATAATTGATATTAAAATTAGTAATATATCACGATAGAAAAGAGAAAAAGTAAAAGATGAATAGAAGCACCGCGTTAGGGTTATAAATAATAAGTTGTAAAAAGGTATAAGAATTATAAAGAGTATTTTTCTAAAAAATGGTTAAAGAGAGCAGTTTTAAATTTTGAGAATGATTTAAGAGATTTTATTTGGGAAGGGAGATTGTTCCAGGTTTGTATGCTTTTATGTTGTATGGATTCATAGCCGTAATGAACAGTTCGGTAATTAGGTACAGATAATTTAAAGTTAAGAGCAGATGGTAGAATATATTTACAGTTTTCCCTATAACTAAAAAAGTTGATAAATGTAAAAGGTAAGTTATTATGATTTTGGTTCCAAACAAATACACAAATTGATAGCTGAATAAGGTCACACAATTTAAGGACTTTAGATAAAAAATGGAGTATGCTACAGTTCGAATTAGTATGTTGAAAGTAAATTAATTTTAGAGCTTTGTTTTGGAGATAAGTTAGTCTTAAAAAAGCAAGCTGCTTAGATTGTCCCCAAACTTGGCAAGCATTTCTGAGATGAGAGTGAAAAATAGCATGATATAAATTAAGCAAAGTTTCATGGTTAACAAAATGACAAATTTTAGCTAAAATACCATTCAATCTGCTTAATTTCAATGCTAAGTCTTGAAGATGCGATGCAAAAGATAAATTAGAGTCTATTTTGATTCCAAGATATTTAATAGAGTTAACTGGATTTATTTTTTTGGCCACTTAATCTGAAATTTAATTGCTTATTTATTTTTGTTTGAGCAGATTTAAATATAATAATTTCCGTTTTTTTAGAGTTAAGAGATAATTTATTGGAGCGGAGCCATTGAACAACATTAGCTAGATCGTGATTCATATTTTTGTTAAGTTTTTTAAGTGATTTATTAATTAGGAGTAAGTTGGTGTCATCCGCGAAGTGATAAGCAGTAGAAAATTTAAGAGAAACATTTAAGTCATTGATAAAAATAAGAAAAAGTAATGGACCTAAAATCGAGCCTTGCGAAACACCATTAAAAGATTTAGCTAGTCCTGAGTTGATACCATTAATTGAAACAAATTGTGTTCTATTACAAAGATAAGAGGAAAACCAGAGAAAAGGAATACCTCTTATACCGTAGTGTTTCAATTTTTCTAAGAGGATTGTGTGCTCAACTATATCAAATGCTTTTCTTATGTCAATAAACACTCCACACGCAAAGTGTTTATTATCGATGGCTTGTCTAATTTTCTCTGTTATTTCTTTTAATGAATGAGTTGTTGAGTGTTTGTTGTGAAAACCATACTGGTGTTTGTAAATAAATTTACGTTTTTCCAAAAAAATTCTTGAACATTCTTTGGAACATTGCTTTTTCAAATAGTTTACTTAAGTTAGAAAGAAGTGAAATAGGTCGATAATTGGAGTAGTCTAGATAAGAGCCCATTTTGTGTATAGGAATTACTTTGGCTACCTTAAAAGCTTCTGGAAAAATACCATTTTTGAAAGAATTATTCATCATAGTACATAGAGGTTTGAAGATTATGTGAGATACCAGCTTTAGTAAAAATGTTGGCAGACTATTGGGACCAAGGCTTTTATTATTTTTAAGAGTTTTATGAGATTCGCCACCTCATTTTCAGTCACTGGATCAATGAAAAAAGAGTTAATACTAGGTATTTAAGTTGCCAAAAGCACATTTAGAGGAAACAGTATTTTTAAGTAGTTTGTCTTGAATAGACGTGAAATATTTATTAAATATATTAGCAACACTGGTATGATCTGAGATGACATTTTCATTGATTTTGAGGTTAAAAGACTTAGTAGAAGTAGATGGTTTGATGTTTATGATTTCCTTAATTCCTTTCCAGGTATTCTTTACTTTATTGATGTTGTTATCGAAAAAAGATGCATAGTACAATTTTTTAGAATACCTAAACAAATTGCTAATTTTATTTCTGTATAACTTAAATTCAGTAAATAATATATTTTTTGTATTCACATTTTTTGATCTAGTAAATTTTTTATAGAGTATGTTTTTATTAGAAATTGATTTAAGAATACCAGAAGTTATCCAGGGTTTAGATTGAAGTTTAATTTGTTTTTTTTGTTAGTTCTTTGTAAGGAGCATATCGGTCTAATATTTTTTCGAATGTTTTAAGAAAAAAATTTATAGATTCGTTTATGTTATCATCGTCTTTTATGAGAAGCTCCCAGTTAATATCGGAAATTTCTTGGATAAAAGAATCAGAATCAAATTTTTTAAAGCTTCTTTTAAACATTTTTACTTTTTTTTTAATGGGTGGGTTATTAGGAATACAGACGAATTGTGCCATGTGGTCAGAGATTGAAATTGTAAGATTACCAGAGACTATATCAGTAGGAAATGAATTCATGAAGATGATATCAATAAGGGTTTTAGTTTTTGCAGTTACACGTGTTGGAAGAATTATGGTTGGAAATAAGGAATGAGAGCACAAAGATTCAAAATAATTAGAAATGACTTGTGATTCTCTATAATTCAATAAATCTATGTTAAAATCGCCCATTAGTACAATATTTTTTGCTTCATGACTTAATTTTTTAAAGAGAGGATTAAAATGGATAGATAAAAATTCAGTGATGTTTAAAGAGGGATGCCGATATATACATCCAAAAATGGTATTGCTTTTAAGTGGATATATAACTTCAACAAATATAGACTCTGGAAATTTGGAGGCATAAATTTGGAGATCACTACGAACTATGTAATTAAGATTTGAATTTAGGTAAAGAAGTCCACCACCTTTTTTTTGATTCTGTTGGACAGTGCTCAATGTTATATCCTTGTATGGTAATGTCAGTTATATTAGAATCATTTGCATATAAATTAGACTCAGTAATTCCTATTACCATGGGAGGAGTATTAATGGTACCAACAAAGCTGGAGAGATCATTTATGTGAAATGGAAGAGAAGAGATATTTAGATGTAGATAAACTTCTGTACCAGGATTAATAGATTTATTTAGTTCATTAACGTCAAGGTATTTGCATTTAGTTGTTGGATTAAAAACATTGTTCATGGTTTTAAATAAGTTTTTGAGATAATCAGGGGGTTCATGAAATTTTATTTTATTAGAAGGATTCTTGCAGGAAAGAGTTGATTTAAGTTCCAGATCAGAGAGTACGCCAAATGGCATATTGTTTGGTATGCAGTTAGGGCAAAACCATTCAGAAGAGTCATTGGAAAGCAGATTGTAAGCATGTTTGTCAACTGAAATACATTTTGCATGAATCCAAAAGAAGCAACAATCGCATTGGATGGCTCTGTGATTATCTTTTATTTTTTTATTGCAAAACTTGCAATGGTGACAAATTTTCATGATATAGATGGTAAAGCCGTTTATAGAACAGAAAATATAGAAAATTAAAAGAGAAATAACCAAACAATAAACAGTAAATGGATAAATAGCAACAGTAATCAGTAGTAGTACGTAGTTAATTATTATCGAAATTATAAATAAAGAGTATAAGTTTATAATAATAATATCATTATTTTATTCAAAGCATTATTTTGGTGTTTTTATTTTAATTTAAATAGCATATAAAGATTTATTTTTAAAATTGCATAAGCAACCCTAAAAATGGTTTAAAACAGCCTTATAAAACCATCCAGCTAGTACTTTTTGTGTGCTGGCATTAAATTTCATAAAAAGACTAGTTGCCCAAAATTATCTTTCATTAGCTATAATAAAAACTTATTTCAACATTGCTTTTTTAACATTTGATTGTCAAAAAATAGACACCAAGTTTGTATAGCCTAAGAATAGTATATAAAAAAATCTTATTTAAATATTAACTGGTATTATAAATTTATAAATGAAATAAAAGTATTAAAATTTATTGATAAGAATTTAAATAAAATTTAAGAAAAATTGTTGACCTCTTAAGCACCAAACAAGCAATCTATTACTTTTAATAATTTGAGATTATCTGATGTTGTTTTTTTAGTTCCTTCGTGTAATGTAGCATCAGTAACTGCAAGTGCTCAAGTTATAGAAGGTGTGAGTCGAAATCCAAATGCACTAATTGATGGTAAGACAGAAGCTTATGATTGGGAATATGGATATACTTGCCATCATATTGGAAGTGGTTGCATCATTGTTCAACTTTCACAACCTTATTTGATTAGTTCATGCAGGTATTTTTCAGAACTTTATTACTAGTCTTATTATCACTATCATTATGGCAGAAAAAACAAATGTTTATAGGTTTTTTATAATCTTGTTTGTTTGTTTTTTGCTACTTTGCTTTGTAGTCTTGATAATATCAACAATGCAAACTGTTTTAGAACATCTTTAGTTTCCATTTTGTTTCTCAAAATGGAAACTAAAGGTTCTTTCTTTTTTTATTTCTCTGTGTTTTTTTTTAATTTTATTCAAGAAATTTTTATAAATAAAAAAGTATAGTTGAAGCAACTTTTAAATATTAAAACCAACTCTTAATTGGTTTTAAACCAACTCTTAATTGGCTTTAAATCAAATTTTTATTGGTTTATAAACCAACTCTTAATTGGTTTTAATATGTAAGTTTTTTTAAGTAACCCAAATATAAATAAATTTAAATAACATAAGTTATTCTTAGCTAGATTTAATGCCACTTACAACCAACTTTATTTTCTTTATTCCACAATTTTTTTTATCATAAATTGTCAATTTATTTTATATTTATAATTCAAAGTTGTCAAATTAAAATAATTCCTCAACTAATAAATTGTTGTTGCAATTAGTAAATGACCGGGGTTGATATTTGACCGGGGCCAGGTTTGTGACCGGGACTGCATAAGCATTTGTACATACTAAAGTATAATTTTTTTAATTCAAGAAATCCTACTCTAATTTGACCCTTGAATTTAATGGCCACACTCTTCCAGTTAAACAGAAGGAATAAAATTTTTGTTAGAGAAGATTAAAGTGATTTAGGTATCAGCATTTAGAGAGTTTCAGGAGAAAATGGTAGTGGTAGAAGTAAGTAAACTTGAAGAAAGTGTCTTACATATTGGATGAATGAAGTTTAGTTAAGGAAAAATCTCTAGATTATTTATTTTAGAGAAACAGCATTAAAGAGAAAGGCTAAAGCCTGATGATGATCATGATCATGTTAATCATAATGATGTTTATATAGGCATATATATAAAAAAATAACATGATTTTGAATTTAAAAAATATACTTTAAGATTTATAATTGGTTATGCAGCCCCTGTCACAAACTTGGCTCCGGCTATATTTTATCAAACCCAGCCCCGACCCCGGTCAATATTCACAAGTTACTGTTGTGAAAAATTTTATTTTGAAATAAATTTTTAATTTTTATCATTTTTTCAAAAAGTAAAAATTTAAATTGGTAATATTTTGCAATTCTGAAGATACCATTACATTACAAACATTTTCTTACATAAAAGTGCTCTGTTTTTACAATTTTATTCATTTAACAAACAAATCTGGGCAAAATGGACTTTAAAATGTTGTTTAGCAAAAGCACTCCTTTTGCAAGTGCTACTTTTGATAGAGCTAATTTCGTAGCAAAAAAAGCTTTATTTTGAAATTCAACTTCGAAATTCTATATTTTGAAATGAGTACTTGCGAAATAAACATCAAAGATTTTTAATGTTTTGTTTAATTCGATACGAAAAAAAATTAGTTCCTCACTGTCAATATACTTTTAAAAGAATTTTTTTTTGTAACTATTTGTTTAATAACAGAGGCCACATTAGGTTTTAGGACTATTTGTTTATTGACATAAAGTTGTGTATCGATGTATTACATTTTGAATGCTTCTTTGAGCTTTTGACATTAAAATTATGTATTGATGTATTACATTTAGAATTCTTTTTTTGGGATTGTGTATTGATATAAAATTGTGTATCGATGTATTTCAATTAGAATACTTTTTTGGGCTTGTGTATTGACATAAAATTGTGTATCGATGTATTACTTTAGAATGCTTCTTTGGGATTGTGATGATCGTGATTATAGTTTCTACATTGAAGTGTCGCTTGATTGCAAAAACTGGAAAATGGTTGTTGATAAAAGAGATGTATTGTGCAAGTAAGATTTTCTTTATTTTCTCCAAATTTTTGAAGTTAAAATTTTGTTGGTTATCATAAAAATTAAATATATATTGTTAAAACACATTCAGGCGTTGGCAAAATATGATTTTTGAACCTGAGGTTATATCATTTATCAAAATTGTAGGAACAAAAAATTCTGTTAATGAGGTAAGCTGAATATTTAAGTTTTAATTTGTATACAAAACTATTTATTTATTTATCATATTACTCTGAGAAACTAAAAATGTTTTTTTTTGTTTTTTTTATATAAAATCTATATACAAGTTATGTGTTAGTTGATACTACTTATAGTTACTGATAGTTAGCATACTACTCAAAAAAAATTTAATTTATAAACCAGTATTATAAATATAAGATGCTTATCAACAATAAAAAAAACAACAATGGTTTAATTTGCTATTAAACAGACGTCAAAAAATGTAGGTGATATATACTTATAAAAAAGTTATTAAAAGTTTAACTTTTTTGATAGTTTGCTTTTTAGTAGAATACAAAATGTGTTTTATTAAATTTTAATAAAATATTAAAGTTTATATAAATATCAATAAAATCAAAATGTTTTAAGATCAAGTTTAAATTTCTTTTAATTTTCCTATCAGCACTAAACAGAATAAAGTTTTTAAAAATAATTTTAAATAATTCATTAAGTTTTTAATATTTTTTAATAATCTACTCAAATACTTTGGGTTTCAATATCTACTCAAATACTGTGGATTTCAAATCTACACAAACACTGTGGGTTTTAATATCTACTCAAATACTGTGAGTTCCAATATCTAGTCAAATACTGCAGGTTTTAATATCTTGTCAAATAATGTAAGTTTCAATATCTTGTTCTATATCCAAAGAGTTTTTGCATTTATTTTATGTTTACAAATGATTCTTTGAAAAAAATTATTTTTAAATTCTTTCTTGAAAAAATAGTCTTTTTAAATAAGGTATTTATAAAGCATTTATTTTTTAAAAGGTATTAAAAAGAATTTTTTTTTTAATTTTAGGTTTTTCATGTGGTCCACTTTGAATGTCCTTCATCAATAGAATGCTTCAATTTAACTAAATCATAATGAATTTTATTTTTGATATTTTTAAATGTTTAATAAAAAACATATGTTTATAAATTTTTGCTGATATTTAGTTTGTTAATAAACTGTAAAAAACTGTAATTTTGTAAATATTATTATTATTTTTTTTAATATTGTAGAATTTGCTTTGATTAGTTTCCAATTTATTCTTTATGAGTTATTTTAAAATGATCTAATTATTTGAGTTAAGAAATTTAACAAAAGCAAAATATTTAATAAAAATTTTAATTGTATATAGATATAGTGGTGGATATATAGTCAGATGCTTTCATGTTTTTATAAATTAATTAATAGTTTTGTTAAAAAGTTTTTAAATGGAAAAAGATTTCATTGTAAATATATTTGGCTAAACAAATATTTTTTTATGAAATACACAAGAAAAACATATAACATTTAACTACAAAAAAAATAACAGATTATGATTGATCATAGAATTCATAATTATTTATTAGAAGCAAAACAAAAGTTTAAGTTGCTTTTTTTTAGTTTTGGTACAACATGGTTGCATATGTTTATGTTTACCAATTATGTTTAAAAATTGACCCATTACCATTTTTTTGCCTTTTTGTTTATTATTTGGTTGCTGATTATCTTTTTCCAGATATTTCTCGAATTCCGGATATTTTCTTCAACTTTTAGTTTTTCCGGATATTCAAAACATTTTCAATACATGCAAGTTGAGGTATTTGTAATATATTTGTTTTTTAAGCTTTTTTACTCATTATTCATAAAAATTATGAAAAATGTCAAAAAAAAATTAAAAAAATTCCAGATTTTTTCCGGATATTTTATTAAAAGTTTTTCCGGATTTTTAAAATATGACTAGGATAATCTATGTACAATGAAAAAAAAATGAAATTATTTCAACCAGGGAGCAATAGAAATTCCTATGTAAATAGTTTCTCGTTTGCAATGGAGTTTTCGTGTTTAGTTTAAAAAAAAATGGTTTACAGATTTTTAGTTTTCAGTGTCTTTTTAGCTAATGCCTAGCAACTTCTCCTGGATCATATTAGTTTAGCATGAGTTATTGAGCTTTAGAGTTGTTCTAATCCAATGATAAGAGTACACTCTAAAAAGAATTGTAGAAATTTCTACCTTAGGGTGGAATATGTAATATACCCATAGTAATGTATGACTTTCTACCTTCTAAGGTAGAAAATTGTATGACAAATTATTTTTATTATAATTTTAATCCAAATGAACAAATCATTTTTAGCATAATTTTAATATAATTGAAAATTCTACCCAAGGTAAAATTTTCAACCTTTTTTTTTTTTAGAGTGTAATTGATATCTTGGTACTTTATCTATTAAGGTTTACAGTTTTTAGGCAAATCACTTACAGTGTTTGTATACTGTTTTCTAGGCTCACCAAAACAATTTATAGGTTACGTTTTTTCAAAAAAGTTATATTTTTCTTTACTTAATTATGATAAACTCAAATATAGACTTGTTATATTACTCTACAATTATAATTTGTTAAAAATATGTTTAAAGATTATTATAAATTAGTTTATTATAAAGTATTTTTTAGCTAATTAAATAAGTAATAAGCAAAAAAAAACAATGTTTATGTATTTATGTACTAAATTTATGTACTAGAGTAAATGCAGGTCAAATGAAATAGTTTAGATTTTTAATTTTTCTTTTTTTTCTAATGGGAAAAAAGAATTTAATTCATTTTTTTTTTAAAGTTGTAGATAATTTTGAGGTTTCCAATTAAAAAAAGTTTCTTTATAAACTTTATTTAATTGAAACAAATGTTTCATTTTACCCTCATATTTAATTTATAGTATTTATAGTAAATCTAAAACTAATTTTTAATACATGTGTTTTCTTTTAGGCTGACAGGTCCAACTTTTATATAGGATAAACAGACTTTGTCTGAATTGAGTTTGTCTGAACCAAAATAAATAAATGGTGTATTTCATTCAACCCAATAGTTCAACACTTTTGTTTTTAACTCAATTTTTTCCAGAAAATGCAAATTTAATTTTAAAATAAGATTCTTGACCGACTTAAAAAGTTAGGATACATTTTGAGTTCATTATCAGCAAATTTCACTTCTGAGAGTTTTATGCTCATTTTTCAACAAAAAAAAATTTAAAATTTTTATGCGACTAAAAATTTGACCATTCATAGAAAAAAATTATTTTGCATTAAAATTTTATATCATCTTATTCAGATGTCAGAAAAAGATTCTCCACAACATGATCAAAAAAAATTTATAAAATGTTTATTTAAATGTTTATGTTTATAAGTAATAGCAAAAGAATAAGCATATTCATAACTATATTATTCCTCTATTCTATTCTACCCGCTTCCATTTATTTATGTACTATATTCTATATATTTATTTACTTTATTCTATGTATTTATGTACTATATTCTATGTATTTATGTACTATATTCTATGCATTTATGTATCTAATTATTGTAATAACATTCATCTATGAAAGTTTTATTCAAAAAAAAGTTATTCAATATTTTATGAGTACTTGTTAAAATATACTGAGACAATTGTGTATTAAATTAGTTAATATTAATGTAAAGCATTTGTTTTACTCAATAGACAGCCTATTAAGTTTTTTGCTTTTTATTTGTGTAATACTATTTTTATATAGTATTTCTCATTATTAATTTTACCTAACTTTAAGTCATAAATTTATAATGAAAATGGTTGATTAATAAATATTTTTAATTAAAGGTACATATTAAGGTGGTGCACATTTTTTTTTAATAATCTCTTAACACTTCTACGTGTTATATAGTCTAATGATACTTTATTGAAAAAATTATTATTTTTTTCTATATTTTAGGTGTGCCACATGGCCTAGAAAAAAATAATGATTTCCTTATATTAAAACAAAGTTGTTTAAATATAGAAAAAAAAATTGAAATAATTCTTTTAGATTTTATGGTATGAAAATATATTTTTTGGAGGTGGTTTTTTTATAAAATATGATTACTTTTTGAAATTTTAATATATGTTTTCTTTTGAAATTCAGGTTAGCATACTATTTTAGAATCATTTTTTTAGTTGATAATGTTTAATCTTTTAGGGCCTGTATGTATATATATATATATATATATATATATATATATATATATATATATATATATATATATATATATATATATATATATATATATATATATATATATATATATATATATATATATATATACATACAGGCCTCAGCAGGAAGCAAGAGCTTTAACTCTCTCTCTTTCGCCCACACTCCCCTAAAGTGGTTTTCGGGAGCAATTTACAGCTCTTGCATAAGTATAATTTTCTTTGATATATTTTGACTCCTGTATATATACAGGAGTCTGTATACCTGTATATATGCCAGAGATGTATGGCACCTATTTTGACTTCTGTATATATACAGGGGTCAAAATAGGTGCCAGACATCGCGGTCCCTTGAATCATTCTTGAGATCTGCTAGATGAGAGCAGTTAACTATAATTTGTTTTGTCAGTAAAAATGAACAATGGTTGTTAGCACCCTTTAAACAGTTCTCAAAAACAGTTCAATGTCTTACAACTAATATAATATTATCTAGTTTTTAATTTTCCTTCTAGTCTAAAAGTAAACTAAAATCATATTTTAAATGTTGAGAAGTTTTTATTTCAGCCTTTAATAATGAAAAGTATTGCATTGGGCTATAGAGCACTGCAAGGAACTATTCGATATTTAAAAAATGGATACAGTTCTCCAAGTAGTATTGACAAAAGTAAAATTTACAGTTTTTTTTTTTTTTTTTTTTTGACATTTTTTAAAAATAGTTTGATTTTATATTTTAGTAAATCTGATAGTAAATGTTTGATTTTTTTAAATGTTATTGTTTATAGCTGTTCCTTTAATTTTGTTAAATAAAAATTATGCTACTCAGGAGCGTACTAGTGAAAAAAAATACATTGGTGGAAAACTTGTGAGTTTAATTGTTGTTTTTATGGAATTTTTTTTATTAAAAAATTTTTTTTGATAATTGAAGAAGAATTGAAAAATTAAACATCTAATATTAAATAGGTTGAGGAAGAGAAGGAAAACAAAATGTCTTTTCCTAAAGTATTACTAACTATATCGTCGACTGATGAAGCCATTCTTCAAACTTATGCTAATTATGTTACTAAGGCTGCTAAAATTGTTGATGTCAAAGTTTCAAAAAGGTGTTTTATAAAAGCTTTCATATTTAAATATTTTATTTTCGAAAAGTAGTGTCATAAAACACATAAGCAATGGTTGAATTATGGGATCACAAGTTGGGATATCTGGAAAAAGATCTGGTCTTGAAAGTTTTAGTTGCAAAACCATGTACTTTGTTTTCATGTAGCAAATTAACTCAAATTTATCAGCAAAATATTTATAAAAAAACAACGCAAAACAATAAACGTACAAATACAAAAGTAATAACACTCTAGTCACTAACTGCATTATAAGAATACTATCACTATAATAGTGTTATTACTTTTATAATGCACTTTTTACTTTTATAGATCATTGTTGGTTAAAACAATCTAAGTAATCCCAAATTTTAATTGAAGTAGAAAAGAATTAGAAAAAATAAAGGGATATTTAAATAGTAGTAAAAACTTCATGAACTTATAAGAAATGTTTAGCATTTCTAAAATGTTTACTAATGGTCCATAAAAACACAAATTAATTTTGAAATCAACCAATAAAAAATTTTTATTGGTTAATTTTTTTGACTAGAGTCATTACTTTTGTAGTCATAAGTTTATTGTTTTGTTTTGTTTTTTTATAACTTTTTACCAAAAAAGTTAATTTGCTCCTTGAGAACTATGTATACAATTTTGCATAAAAAAAAACTTTGAACACCAGATATTTTTCCAGATATCTGAATTTTGAAAAACTTATGATAAGATAATAAACTTTTAAATAAATTGTGTTTAGTTATAACATTCTGATTGAGTTCTGTTTAGCTTGAGTTATGTTTAAAATTTTAGTTTTAGTATGCCAGCTATACCAGAGACAGTTAAAGCAAAAATTCTTTCAGAAGATAATAGTAATCAAAAACAAGTAGAATATGCTTTTAAAAACTACCGACGAATAATTGAGGTTTCTGATCTTTGTGCTGATAAATCAGATCTTTTTATAGAGTTTGTTCAGAAAGGTCTTCCATCTGGTGTTAAAATTCTTATGGAGCTAGTAAGACTTTTATTTTAAGTGCTTGGTTTATTTGCATATAATATTAGTGGAATTTTTTGTAGAGTATATATATATATATATATATATATATATATATATATATATATATATATATATATATATATATATATATATATATATATATATATATATATATATATATATATATATATAGTTATTTTAAAATATATAATATATGTGTTTGTAAATATGTGTTTGTTATATATCTGTGTGTATATATCTGTGTGTGTATGTATTTATATATATATATATATATATATATATATATATATATATATATATATATACATATCAGGCTTGGTCAGGAAACGGGTGCGATCGCACTCGATGATTGACAATGGAAATAGTATTTAGTTGCGAAAAACCGGCCAGATTTTTTAGTCGTTTTGAGAACATTTCAAAAACAAACAAAAAAGCGCATTAAGATTAACTGGACCGATGAGAGACAGTTAAAAAAAGAAAAAATAGCTTTTAACTCGAAATAACTTAGTATTTTTAATTTTTATTTATATACTTATGTCTTATTTCCAGTGCTGGAGTGAGGTGGGGAAAGAGGGAGAGTAGAAGGGCTATAGCCTTGGGACTCTTAATGTTAGGGGTCACAAAATAGTCAAGAAGACCATTCGGTATATTTTTTAGTCATTTTTACGCTGTAGCACATAAAAAAGGCTGCCAAAATAATGCAGTCCCCGTCCCTGAAAGGTCCAACAAGATTTAACCAATAAAACTAACGCTAGATGATTTATTTATAAATAAAAAAGTTTTTTTAATAACTGTTTTATGCTTTGCGTAGTTTGCAAAGTTTAACACATTTGAAACAATTTTTCTTAGTAAAATGAACAAATGAAATAATTAAATCATTGAGTTACTGTAGAAATTCAATTAGCTAAATAGAAATTAACTAAAAACGTTAAATTACTATGTGAGGAGGAAGCGCAACTGCATCACAATAACACTGATGATGTTTAGTGAGTTGACTTTACAATTTTAATTAGTATTTAAAACAGAAAAAAGATACTCTAAGTTTAAGTATAACGAGTTTGTAAGAATGGCTAAAGCAAAAATAATTGAAGTTAGTAAACCAATTTCTAAGAACTTAAAAAATTTTCTTTCTTGGGGGAAAGAATCAGTTATCGGGTACACTGAGAAAAATGGATTAGTTGTTAAAATTATTTGTATTAACTTTGATGATTATTAATAATTTCATTAAAAACGTAGTTATTATTGAAAGTATTTTTGTTTACAAAATCAATCGCACAAATTGCTTTAAAAGATTACATTTAAATAAAATACACATACATAAAATTACATGCATAAAAAATACATACATAAAAATACATCCCTTATACATAAAAAATAAGAATATACTAATAAAATCTATAACATATTTACAAAACGTTGACAAGTTAAAAAAGATAAATTTAAAACATTTATTTTTGTAAACAAATAATGTTAGTTTAAAACATTAATAGCTTTGTAGATGTGGCTCCGAGAATTAAAATAATAGTTCGTTTGATAGTATATTCTTAAAATAATTTATGCTAGAAATCTCAACAAAAACTTAACAAAACTCGATACAATTTTTTTAAATATTTCAACAGAATACTCTAGAAATTTCATTATTATTTTTTGAACCAATAGAATTAGTTGTTCGCAGATTTGGTGGGTTTTTTGTGTTTGCAAATATTCTTTTTTTATTTTTCCGCACAAAGATGTTTGAGAACATTCAAGTTTATGTATGTTTCCATGTATGTCCGTAAAACAAAATATTTTAAAATTAACAATAAAATAACGAATTTAATTAAGGAAACATAAATTTAAATGTTCTCAAAACGACTAAAAAATCTGGCCGGTTTTTCGCAATCAAATATTATTTCCATGGTCAGTTATCGAGTGCGATCGCACCCGCTTCCCGACCAAGCCAATATATATACACATCACAGCTGTTTCACTCAATATAAAAGCGAGCTTGACGTCACAATTATTTTTGTGTTTATCAAAAAAAAAAAAGTATTTCCGCAAAAAAAGTTTAAAAATGCACTAACTTTAAAATAATATTTTTTTTCCTGTAAGCGCTTTCATCTTCAAATAAAAAAAATTTAAAAGACCTATCTTTTTTTTTAAAATAAATATTTACATTAAACGGATTAAAAGTATTAATGTTTAAATATTACTAATGATTTGGGATCACTTTTCTGTTTTTTGTGGCTTTTAGAGAAAACCTGTCTTGGGTCAACTAAGATTTCATAACATAGCTACATGCCTCATGGTTGAAATTTGGAACATTTATAAATAAATCTCTATTCTAATTTTTGGTGCGGATTGCTTATTTTTTATTTTTTAACTATTTTTTAATGCATTTTTAATTTTAATTTTACTATTAAATAATGAAAATCGTATTATTTTTGTAATCCGCACCAAATTATTGAAATTTCCACCCTTTCTGCATATAAAAATCAAAAAATTGTTTGCTGTACCTCTAGCTATGTTATGAAATATGTTTTCAAACTTGGCTAGTTTAGAAACAAATTTTTCTAGTTTAATGCGCAAAATATTGTTTACATTTCAAAACAATCACGTGACCTTTAATTCTGTACGTCCCAAGCAAATATGTAATAAATTTTATGAAAACAACTTTCTTAGCGAGACAAATTTTGAAGTATAAAATAAACAAAATTAGGCGGTTTTTTCTTTAGAATGGTCCATAAATCTATTATCAACTGGGTGTTCAAAGATCGTTTTCTACTTAAAGAACTTATTAATGGATCAACTTATTAATGGGTCAATCAAAGTTTTTATGAGAATAAAAACACATTATCAAACAATTTAATTAGCTATTTGTATAATTAAAGAAACATTTAATTTTTTGTGTAAAAAGATTGATTCAAGTGCCATAAAGTAATTCTATTACCAAAAGCGAGTTTAATTCAAAATACTTTAACTCAGTTTTGGTCATGAATTATTTTATTAGAGTCTTTATTTATTAACAACCTAACACCATATTATTAAAACTGTATGCATAGAAAAGAATTGCTCAAGTTTTTAAAGGCTTTAGCTTCAAATGTTAAGAATAAATATTTAGAATTGTTTTAAAATTCAAATATTTCAGTTGAATATGGAAATATATTTTACTTCGAAACAAATCAAAGGATTATATGATCTACCGTATGAACAAAGATTGTTGGTATTAAATATGACAAATGTAAAGTACAGGCTACTTCGTGAAGACCTAATCAACGTCTATAAATGACGCAAAAATAACAATAGTGATAGAAGTCTTTTTGAAATAGATAGCCAATTTATTACTTGGCTTGTTTTTGAGAAGTCCAGGGTTACAGATTGATCCACAGTATTCTAGGTGAGGGCGGACAAAACCTGAAAATAGCTTTTTAAAAGTAGAATAATTATTTTATTGTATTTATTGTAGAACAATTATTTTATTGTATTTAAATAAAATAGTTAAAATAAAAATAGCAATACAAATATTTATTTAAATATAAATAAAAAAATTAAAACTAGAAAGAAAAAACAAACATTTTAATTAACTTCTGAATAAAATATTACAAAAAAACCAACGGAAAGAAGAATGTTTTAATTAAATTCAAATGTAAACCTTTCATTTAAATCGTAAACATAACAATTAAAATAAAAACAAAATAAAGTACGTTTTAAATTCAAAATAAAATAAATAAACTAAAAACAATAAAACAAAGGTTTTAATTGACTTTTAAATGAAATTTTTAGAAAAAATTTAGAAGAAAGAACAGAATGTTTTATTCAAATGTGATTGAATAAATTACTTGAAGTAATAATGGCATAAACGAACTTTTTAAATAAATTTAAATTAGAACCTTTTATTTATATAGTAAATAAAACTATTAAAATAAAAACGGAAACATGAAAGTTTAATTAACTCTAAATTATAGTAATAATAAAATTGGTAATGTTTTATTTAAATTCCTAACAAAATGGTAAAATAATGCATTCACTATTTCAAGTTTTTAACCAAATGTCAACATTTGAGGTTTTGTTTTTCTATCAATTTAATACTGGATTTTCCCACGTTAATTGATTTGTCAAGCTCTGGTACTAAATTTTGTGCCGACCTGATGCTAAACATTTGCCAACTTAAAACTGTTTTTAGTCGGAAGTTTTTTCTGGCCTTATTTTTCCTAATTTCGAGGGTTTCATATAACTATATATATATATATATATATATATATATATATATATATATATATATATATATATATATATATATATATATATATATATATATATATATATATATATATATATATATATATATATATATATATAGAGAGAGAGAGAGAGAGAGAGAGAGAGAAAGAGAGATTATATATATATATATATATATATATATATATATATATATATATATATATATATATATATATATATATATATATATATATATTAATATATATATATAATATATATATATTTACATTAATATATTAGTATATATAAATATATATTGTTTTCATGAGAGGTCAGTAGTGAAAAATAATACTAGTTGTGAAGTAGAGGACTCGGTATTGTTGTTGCCATTCATAAATATAAGAATATTAACAATATATATTTATATCTTATTATTTTTATCTATATATTTATAGTAATTAAATATGTGATAATAACAAAGAATTAAGATTTTTCAAATGATTTTTATAATTTACATTTTCAGAAATATATTCTGAAGATGTTTTTCTACATAAAACTAATGAATAAAAATGACATAATATGTTTTTCTTTTTATATTTAGAAACCTTGGGAACAGCTTGTAAATCCAGACCATATCATGTTTCGAGAACAAAAGCAGAAGTGATCTGCAAAAATAATTTAATTTATATTATATTTTGATTTTAGTATTTATTCTAAGTTTTTAATAGTTCATGTATATATATATATATATGTGTGTATATTATCTAAAAAAAAAAAAAGTACTTTTTTTTTGCTTTTTTTTTTTTTTAGTGTATTGCTAATATGTTTTTTTAATAATATTTGTCTCTATAAATCTGTAAGATTTTTTTTTGACATAAGAAAAATATTTTATTTGAATAAAAAAACCTTTTAATAGAAAATATTCATCCTGATATTTAGTTGTAATTGATTTATGTTTTTAAAGTAATTTGTGCACATTGTTTTTTAAAGGGTTTGGTATAAATTTAAAAAAGTATATATTTTTATATTTTTAGCTTTATAATCATTAAAAATGCATTTAATGTATTATCTAAACAGCAATGGTGAACGCATTTATACATTAGAGAAAGTTGATCCATCTGGAAAACCAACTTTATCAGCACATCCAGCTAGGTTTTCGCCTGATGATAAAAACTCTAAGTACAGATTTATTTTAAAGAAAAGGTTTGGTATCTTATTGACTCAGCAACCTAAAGCCGTGTACTGACATTTTGTTAAAAATTTGAAGCCACTATATATTTTTAACTTTTAAAAATCTTTGTAAAATAGTACATAGCTGAAAAAATAATACTTTGATTGAGTTTGTTGTTTTGTGTTTTTTTTTATAGTTTAAGGTTTAAAATAATTTAAAGTTTAAAATGTTTAACTTTCATTAAGTTTTAAGAAATTAGAAAAAGTTATAAATTTTTACATGACATAATAACAATGTAAATAATTGATGAATATATAGTTCCATTTAAAAGAAGTTATATAGAAAGTAAAAAGTAAGTTATGCAAAAATCTGATATTAGAAAAATAACAAAATATTGCTACTAGGGCATCCAATACTGGTATACCCAAAACCGGTATACCGGTTGTTTTTTCAATACCGATACCAAGCTCTCGATATGGTATATACCGGTATTTCAGTTATTTTTCTCATCGGACAGAAATTGTTCCATTATACTTCGTGCGTGTTTAGACACAGATTTTTAGAGAGTAATAAGCGCAAAAATATCACCAAAGAAAACTTTTATTATAAAAATGGATTTAAAAAAAAGACTTTCTTAGATGTAGAAAGCCTTTTTTAATCCTACCAAAGTATTAAATAAATTATATTTATATTTTGAAATATTCAACTCTTTTAATATCCTCTAAGCGAGAAAATATCACAGAAGAGAACTTAGATTATTGAAATAAAAAAAGCCTTTCTTAGAAAAAAAAGTTTTAATATTTAGTTACATGTTTGTATAAATTTTTTTATAATTAAATAATTAGATATTTTTTGGAGAGAATTTTTTTTTTTTCACTTTGTTGTGTTGTGCTACAACAAAGCAAAGTGTTTGTGTTTTACTTTGTTTTGCTCGTTTTATATTTATTTGTAAATAACAACATCAACAAATAAAGACAAAAAAGTAAATTTAAAAAGAATAAATATTTAACATACATGTATACAAAGTCAAATAAAAAAACAACATCTCTATTTAATATAGAGATGTTGTTATATTTTTTCATATAAGTTCATATATGATCTTATCTAATATATATTTTTGATATTTATATATTTTGTATTTCAATATTATTTATCATATTTTGAATTCTAGTATTCAAAAACATGCTGCCCTAGCCATGGCTGGTAGAACAAAAGTATTTGAAGATTTTGAAAAAAGCCTGGACTTCTGTAAAAATAGTTGTTATTTAAACATTAATGTTCATTCTAGAAACAGATATACAAATATATATTATTTTAACTTAAATAATAAAGTTTTTAAACCGTTTATCTGTTACTTTAGGTTTTAATAAATGTTTTTTTAAGTATTTGTAAATAACAGTATTAGTACAGGTATAGCAGTTTTCACTAAATCTAATACTGAAAAATCGGTATTTATTCTTTGTTGGGGGGGAGGGGGCATTACCACCACCAGAATTTAATTCAGGGGGGTGTATGAAGAGATATTTTTCTTCCTAAATCCTCCACCACGCAACAAAAACTTTTTTTGTATATGTATGTACCTACTAAATACCTGAGCCCAATCTACAATTTTTATTTATGACTCATTCATTTAAAATTGTGACTGACTGGTCAGTAACTTTTTGTCTGTCAGTAATTACTGAATGACTCAGTCATTTATTCTGATTTATATATTTTACGCGGCAATATATTTTTCTTGTTAAATTTATGAAATATTGTTTTTGGGGGCAGAGTATATATTAGCATATATGCAAATAATTTAACTGAAATTGATTACTTAGTTTAATGTGGTTGTTTTTTTTATTTGATATTTTTTCAAAAAAAAAAATTTATTGATTCTTAAGAAAAATTTACCATCAAAACTTGGAACCAATTTACAATGAGTGGCTAAGTGGATTATGTATGCTTAGTGTACACAAAAAAAGAATAAATAGTTGTCTAAATTTTTATCGACAAAGTTTTAGACAAGTTTGGACATCAAAAAAGAAGGCTTGAGTTGCTCTTTTAAAAACAAATTGAATGACTGTTTATGTATAATTGTAAGTTGTAAAATGTAAATGTCTAATAGTAATTTAAAAATTTAAAATAAAAAAATTATTCAATTTTTTCACGTTTTTTCTTATTATTAAAAGATTTTTATTTTCTCCGGTTCCTTTTTTTTTTATAAGGGGGTGCACCTACTTTCACCCCCCTGCCGGCGCCCATGGGGGTCATAAATCTTAAATACCTAAATACTGCCTGCTAAAACTCTAGCTCTTTCTCAGTTTCTGAATTGAAGCTGATAATTATCTTTGTCTGCAGTAAAAGATATATATATATATATATATATATATATATATATATATATATATATATATATATATATATATATATATATATATATATATATATATATATATATATATATATATATATATATATATACAATAAATTTTTTTGTAATTTACAGAACATTTTTTGTATTTTACAGAAAATAAAATTTAAAATCGTTTAACAGTTTAAATGGCTAAGTTTTTGGATGCAGATTCACGTCAGACATGTTGGTCAAATCGCGATATTTATTTTGAATGCTTAGAAAAGAACAATGATAACAGTGAAAAATGTAATACTTTGTATAAAGACTTTATTAATACTTGTCCTAAAGCATGGGTTAAACATTTTATTGATAAACGAAATGCTCAAACATTAAAAGATAAATTAGCAAAACCCATTTATTTTGATGACAAACAATAACTTTATATGAGGCTTTTTCTTTAAATAAATTTTTTTATTTAACTTGTATTTGTTAAAAGTGTCAAACAGTTTTTAGAAATAAATTCTAAATGTTTTTTTTAGTTAGGTTGTATTTTATTTTTTTTATCTTGTTGTGGTGATGTTTTCATTGTTTATTTTGCTGTGGTTGCGTGTCTTTATTGTTGTAGTATTACTAAAATGTTATTTGTATTTGAAAATTTTTATATTAAATTTTATTTTAAACACTTTACAACACTTAAATCAGTTGGGAATAAGCAATCAGTTTTATTAGAAATTCTGAATTTTAACTATTCAAGTTCTTTATTTCAACTTAACACATTAATTTTTAAAGGCAGTAAGTTATGATATTATTTAATATAAAATATGATATATATATATATATATATATATATATATATATATATATATATATATATATATATATGTTTATATTTAATGTAATCATTATTTAATGTTATGATTTTATTTAATAACAGTAACAGTAGCAAATAATTGACTCTAAAATATGTATAACTTAGATTTTTCAACTTTTAAAAAAGTAAAAAAGTCATGATTGATGTTCATTGTCATATATCAGCCAGTGAATTTTCTGAAGTAATTTTTTTTTTATACATAATATAATACATAAGATTACAAATATTTTATTATATATTGATATATTATAATGATGATATTATGATACATACATACATACATACATACATACATACATACATACATACATACATACATACATACATACATACATACATACATACATATATACATACATACTATATATTTGGATTTTATTTTTTTGTAATATAAATTTTTTTGGATATTTTAGGATTTCAATGATCTTATAAATGAGGCCAAAAAGGTAATTCTTTGAAATAACCAGAATTTTATTCTTTAGAATAGTGTTTTTTTTTTTTTATAAATAAAAATAGTTAATTGCGCTTATAATTGCTTATGTTTTAGTTATGTTGTTTTTTTTTACTTTTATTTAGGTTGGAGTTGAAGCAATTGTTGCTGTTAGTGAGTTTCCAAGTGATTTTCAAAAAGTTATAAAGCTTTCTGAACTGTAAGTTTTATTGAGTTGTTTTAAGGACACATATCACTCAGGTCAGCAATGTAAATACTGAATAGTAAATTAATATTTTTGAGCACTATTTTCATTATGGATAATGTAAACTATTTTTTTGAACACTATTTTTTGTATGTTTTATTTTGAGTATTGTAAACTATTACTTTGAATGCTTTTTAGTTAATTGAAAATAAATGTGTGTGTTTTTAAAATAGTAATGAGTAGGCTTTACATAACTAAAAATAATTTTTTAGTTATATATAATCAATATTGACTTGATAAAGTGTGATCTCAGTCTTAAAAATCATATAAACGTATTGACTTGTATATACTGAAGAAATAAAACATTAAATATCAAGTTAAAGCAAATTAACTATTTAAAAGTTTAAATGGTGTAGTATGAAGATGTCAAATTCTGTTGTGAAAGTTGAATTAACACAAGTGAATAAATTATTTTATGACAAAAGTTTGATAATTATTATTATTATTAATTTTAAGATATCCCAAGGTGGTATGTTCTTTAACAACAAGTTGTTAACAACTCTCAAATATTAGTTTAAGTTGTTTTCCAATTTATGATATAAAACAGGGTTAAGAAAAACAATGAATTCTTTAATTTTTGGGTTTAAGAAGAAGACAAAAAACACAACACTTTTATAAGAAATTTGTGTAAACTTAAGTTAAGTTTTATGGAAGTATTAAGTCACAAAATTTACAAAACTTATATATATGTATGTGTGTATAAACATTAAAAAGCATAGTGCATGTTGTGTCTATCACTTGACAATAGTAAAATATGATCAAAAACATCTGTTTCTACGTTTTACAACACCTTTAAAAGACTCGAGATCTACTTTTGTAACACCTTTTTTATAACAATACCCATGAAGGTTGCATTTTTTTTTTTTTTTTGTCAAACAAAAAGTGTTGTTCATTATATAATCATTATAATAATATAGTATTTAAAAACTTTAGCATATAAATTCGTTGAAATGGTCACCCACGAACAGTATACGCCTGAGAAAAAAATGAAGTACATTAGAACAGAGGAGAATTATTTTTTGAACAAAGCACATTTTGACAGTTGTCAAGACAAAAATAAAGCATAATTTTATTTTTGTCATTTTAGCAGTACATTTTTAAATATTCTTCTAATAATCGTTATTTTTGTCTTGACAACTGGTAAAATATGCTTTGTTCGAAAAATAATTCTCCTCAATTCTAATGTACTTCATTTTTCCCTCAGGCATTCTCTGCTTGTGTGTGACCCTTCTGCAAATTTATATGCCAAAGTTTTTTTCATAATTGTAATAATATAGTAGTCCTAATATTTAAATATTAGGATTATACTATATTGTTTAAATAATTAAATGCAATATGCATGTTAAGTAAAATTTTTTTTGCATAAAAAAGTTAAGTAGATTTTTTTTTTTTTTTTTTTTTTTTTTTTTGCATAAAAAATGCACTTTTATCTTTCTTAATTTAAGGCTTTAAAGTATTATTAAATAACATTGCTTTAAATGATACTTGAGTTTTTTAACAAAAAATCTATTTACTAAGAAATACAAAAGGTTTTATATATTAGAACAATTAGGTTGCAAATAAATGTTAATGCAATAGTTTAAAAATGTTAGTAGTTGCAAAACTACAATAAATTTAATTGCTTTAAAAAAAAGCACACAAAAATTATGGCTAGAAAGTTTTTTTTAATTAATCTTTATGTTTTTTTATAGTTTTATACTGTTTTAACATATATATTTTTATTTGTTTTCTTTATTTTTGTTTTATTGGTGGGTTACCAGAACCTTAACCTGAATTTATTAATAGATAACTACCAGGGCCTATTCTAGGAAAAAAAATTTGGGCGGCAGTACCCCCTCGTTCCAGCAAACTTTAGCAGAAAATCTGCATTTTTTTCACAAAAAAAATATTTGCCAAAAAAACATTTAAAAAAAAAAAGGTCCTTAATTTTTAATTTTGGCGCCCAAATGTTCGGCGCTTGAAAACCGTCTAGAATAGCCTCTGACTACTCTAGAGTGTACATACATTGACTGACTTTAATAGGGAGAACATAAAGAAAGTTTACACACATCTATTGATCTAAATAGGGAAAACATACAGGGAGTGTGCATACATTAACTGAGGGTTTTAGTTTGGGCAGGCAACCTATCAATTAAAAAGAAAATTGTTTTTGCAAGTTTGAAAACTTTTTTCAGTGGAGTTAGCTATTGATTTGATTACAATTTATGGGGGAAAAACTTTTTAACGACTTATGTATATTTATAGATACATAGATATATATTAAACCATGCCTGTATTAACACTAATTATCTAACCACCTTGGAATCTCTTTAAAATTACTTAATTATCTTTAATTATGGTATTATACAAAAAAATTTGTTTTATTATTCAGTTATCCAAACTTTATATATCCTTGTATTGGTGTGCATCCCGTCCAGGTAAGAAAACCAATCATAAGTGAATTAACTTTGTGTTACCATTACATAGTTTTTAATAAAACCCATCATAATATTTTTATGGTGAATAAATACAACATTTATATTTTTAAAAAAATTTTGTTTTTGCGTATAATGAAAAATTTTTAGTTGAATTATATAGTAGATAAATTTCAAAGTAATAATTGAGCTGAGCACTAGCAAATAAGAAATTGGGAGTGAGAAGGGAATATGTCTGAGAGAATATTCTAAATTGACACCAGGAATGTTTTACAGTAAAATTAATGATTAAATAAATACTTTATGATTTTTAAACCTTATGTAACTTATCAAAATTTAAAACTCAATTTAAATCTTGAATTTTTAAGTTGTTAAAACTAGTTTCTAATCACTAGTGCAACAATGAACTCATTCTTTCTATCATAAATTTATTTATAATTTAAAAGTTTCAAAAGCTTATCTTTTTACTAGCACATTTTTAGTTAAGTTTTAACCCAAATCTTGTGGCTTTAATTTTTAATGACCAGAGTGACTGCCAGGGTATATTGTTCCCCAGGTCTAATTTCTTTTTATCAATGAACACCTTCCCCTGGTGTTGTCGGTCCTGGTTTTAGATGACTTTACCGAACTGTGTGAGACAAACAGCACACGTTTTATATATACAGCCCGGAATTGTCATCAACATTTTTATGACTTGAAAAACTTAATTTTTAAACAAAAAATTTTTACTTTGCCCAACATTCCAGAAGTTCTGAATACCATAAATGGTGTTTATTAATGTATAACTATTGGAGAAAAAAATCAGACCTGGGGAATAACTTACTCTGGTGGTCACTCTGGTCCACAGTGGACTTTTATTAAATTTTAAAGAACCTTTTTAAAAATACAATTTAAAACTATTAAATTTGAACTAATGAAGTAGAGTCAGTCAAATAATTTATTTTTTTTATGTTTTTTGAATTAATTTTAATTATTTATTAGTAGTAGCATGTTACCAACACTATATATCATACCACCATACTAACAGAACACACCATACCACCGTACCAACACAAAAGCATCAGCTACTTACGCATTTTAAATTCTGGACTAGGGTTTAAAAAAATTTTATTAACAACTGTTTTAATTGTTCTTATGTTCCAAAAGAAGTTTTGAATTTTTTAATAATATTATTGCAAATCGTAATAATAGGATTTTTAAAGAGTCTCTTGCTTTTTAATTTTTTAAAGGGATCCCTAAGTGCTATAAATATGATCTTATATGAAAGAGCATTAACCCGACACCGCATATTGTATATTTAAAGAAGCAAACAGAATTTGACTTAATTTCATAGTGTAAATTTAAATAAATGTGCATATGTTTAGTTTTTCTAAGAAAATATACTAATAAAACCAGGAATTTAAAGCACATAAATGATTTTTTGTTCATGAGATCTGCAATCTGATAAATTAATATAAAATCTAAAAAGTCTTGAAAAAAATGTATGCGGTGTCAGGTTAAAATAAAAAAAGTTTGATGTTTATTTTTCTTTCTAAAACGTAGTAATGAACACACGCTTACAAATTTAATTTTCAAAAAAACGCTTTTCTTAAATTAAAAAAAATGCATCTTGTCCAAGTTCATTCACTCTATTGCCTCAAAAAACTAACATTTATATGTCAAATTGAACAAAGTAGACAAAATGACATAATTGAAAACATATTAGTTGGTAATTAAATTTAAAAGTAAAGTCGTTGAATAGTTTTTTTTTAACTAACACTACTTACAAGATTAAGTTTTGTAGCATTTTGTGAAAATATATTTGTATATAAAATTATTACTTTTTAATTTTTATTTATATATTTGTGTAATAAGGGCAATTCCATGGTGGAAAATGAAATAGAAGTCAAATTTTAAACTCTTTTTAGTCAGTTTTTAACAAATGAATATTGATGGAGACACATGAAAGTTTAAAATATTTCCTTAGTACAAAAATAAATTTGTTTTAGTCATTTTTATGGTTTTGAAAGTGGCGGTTATTCTCATTGTCGCTGGATAAAAAAAAATAATCATTGTAAAATGTTTTTTTAACCATGAATTTTTTTGCATAGTCCGAATTATTTTAACATGATCATGGAGCCAACATGTTCAGCTTGTTATTGGCCATACATATATATATATATATATATATATATATATATATATATATATATATATATATATATATATATATATATATATATATATATATATATATATATATATTTAAAATATATATATATTTAAAATATATATATATATATTTAAAATATATATATATATATTTAAAATATATATATATATATTTAAAATATATATATTTCCAGAAAATAATCAAAGAACTTTTTCAATTTTAATGTAACGTAAGTTAACAAAAACATGAAAGCGGTTAAACATTTCAATGAAAGAAAAACTTTTATTTTGAAAGAAAACAGCGAGGCAGAATAACTTTAAAACTTGTCATTAGACAAAAATGAGATTTTTTTTAAAAATGGATTTTTCTATCTATTTTATTATTTCGATCTAATTTATTATTTATCTTTCTATTTTATTATTTCAATCTAATTTATTATTTATCGATCTATTTTATTTCGATCTAAACATGAAAGCGGTTAAACATTTCAATGAAAGAAAAACTTTTATTTTGAAAGAAAACAGCGGGGCAGAATAACTTTAAAACTTGTCATTAGACAAAAATGAGATTTTTTTTTTTTAAATGGTTTTTTTCGATTATAGGTATTTTTTAGTAATGATAAGGTAATTCATTAGCACAGGGCCTGAATAAGCACAGGGAAGATGGGGCATTTTCCCCGAGGCCTTTGAAGAAAAGTGGGCCTACAAACCATGAAATTTTGTGTGTGTGTGTGTGTATATATATATATATATATATATATATATATATATATATTTTTATTTATTTAACATAAATATGTTATTTTTTTGCCCCAGGCCAATGAAACAGCTAATCTGACTCTGCATAAGCGCTTGCAAGTTATTAGGTCTTGGAAAAAGAGTGTTTTAAATATTTCATATTTATCCAAAATTATTTTAAATATAGTTTTTGTTTGTATTTATCTAGATTCACCTTTGACATTTTTTTTTTTAAGGAACGCACACATTTAATTTTTTTGTAACTTCATTTAAAACATTATGAAACTATAAGGAAATCAAGTTAATACACCAGCTGTATTTCATCAATTAATAAAATTAAATCATACTTTTTGTGAACTGTAATACGCAATATTTTTTTTAACTCTGCATTGTATAATATTTAAAATGTAGAGAAATATACTTTTAAAAAAAATTTAAGTAAAAGTAAAACTACAAATTAATAAAAATACTTAAAAAGCAAAAATACGCAAAAAAAAACAAAAAACTACTTATCTACAACGCAAGTAACGCAAATAAGTAATATGTTACTTTCACCTCTGCTTAAATTATTCAATAACTAAATCTGGCCACTTTGGCTATTAAGTTATCTTTTGTTTTTACAGGTGTAGGCGCCATTACATGTTTTTTACTAATACCTTTCGTTCCAATTTCCGCTCTTTTGAAAACACTTTTCTTATTATTAGAAGGTAGTCATAACGTTTGTCTTTTAACTTTTCGAGCGATAAGTTTTTTGCATGCTTTTCTCCATGCAACACGATATTTTACATCGCCATTGCAATCTAACGTAAAAAAATGCCCGGCATTAAAGTTATGATCAAGGGCTGCTAGAAGTCCTCCCATCTCCATGTGCTCATACTTAAAATTATATTGTTTGGGAATATATTTCAATAACAAATTGTTAAAAACTTCGACAGCACATGTGTGAACTGCCTCAGTTAAGTGTTTCATTGCTTTTTTTAGAGATTTATTTTTAACAATCTTAACTAAATATTTAGAAAAATCTGAACTGGTGTCCAACCAGTTTCTTTTTTCTTCTTAATGTGAATAAGGTTCATGTTCAGATTTTTTAAAATATTTATAACCACCCCATTTGTGTATATTGCATATATGGTATAGAAGGAAACAAAATTTCTCATACATGAGTGGCAGATTATTTTTTTTACTGCTGGTATCCACTCATGAAGATCCATTTTAGATTTGTGTTTTTAGAGGCTTTCATCATTTTTTTCCTAATTGATTTCGCTACATGCTATGGGTCAAACTGATGGTTTATGTTATTAAATCTTGGATCCACTTTAAGGACTTGGCAGATTTGTGGATGATGATCTATTGATATTACACTGATATTTAGTCTGGCTTTTTTAAATTTTTTAAGTAGATGAACAAAACCCGCTTTTTCCATACATGCTATCAAGGAAGAGAAGAATAAGTTGCCTAAACCTTTTAACCGTTCCACTGTTGGTTGTGAACTCCATTCAACGTTGCACTCATTAAAACAGGTAATTTTTAAACAAAGCTGCGAGCCTTTATTTTTAACTTCTTTTATCATAGATCAATCAATGAAAGCACCGCACTTTGGACAATGTGCTAATAGCTCAAATAAATTATTTTCGTAAACAAACAGAGATCAATCATTACACTTTCTTTTTATTTTTGAATCTGTAGCGTTTGTTTTGTTATCGGTATCCATTTCATCTGATGAAGTATGGGTGTATTCTGAATTGTCGACATCTATATGTTTATTATCAGAATCATAGTCATCAATGTATCCAATATCTTCAGATACATTGTAATGTTTCTCATCATTGTCATCATCATTTTCATCATCAAGTAAATCATCATTGCCAGCCGTTTCATCACTTTCATTAGATACATTAATATATGAATTGTGATTAAATTTTACGGCAACAATACGGTAACATTAACTTCATTGCAATTGTTTAATGTATCTCCTTCAACTGCATCAAAGTTTCTGCAAAATTCTTGGGATTTTTGATCTTCAACTGTAGGGAATTGAAAACCTTTATTAATTTTTTTAATTTTAGGTGAAATTATGTTTACTTGACAACCAAAGTGTTGATAACTTTTTTGCGTAATTGCGAAGGTACTTGGGTCTTTTTTCCAAAGATTTCCCGGTTACTGCGTTTGTGTAGCAACATTACAATTAAGCAAATTCTCCTCATGTGTCAAAATTGATTCATCTTGTAATATTTCTTCTCTTTTCAAAATAACATAATTCGATTCAATGCACGAGCTTTGCTGCAGTAAATCTGATTGAAGCTGTAAAAATTTGAGAACTTTCAATGCTATTTTTTAAAGTTTTAGATTAATATACACAATTTTGATATAAAGTCAACCAGGCAAAAAAATTATTAATAGTTTTAACTGATTATATTGACATGAAAATATTGTTGGAACAGAATTAGGAAGGAGTCTTTTGTTCATTCTTTTGATTTTGTAAGGTATAAGAAGTTGCATCATTTCATGAGATTTTTCAAAACATGATTCGTCAAAATGCAAAGAGCAAAGTTCAAGTCGCTTAACACTATTCTCTTTATGCTTTTCTCCACGCTGCTGCAATATCAGGATTTTTTGGTACTTTATGAAATGATATGTGAGGTAACTTATTATGATACTCGCTTGAGCAACCTGCAGCACTACAGAAATATTTGCAAGAAAAATGTAAATCAAGAAAATACAGAACAGCAGCAATATTAATATCTAATTATTTTTATTTTTTATGTGAATATGCTCAATGCGCAATAGAAATAAGAATAAATATTTGATTGACTTTATTGAATTAACGAGATAGTAAAGTATAAAAATATTCTGAAATAAACAGTTTTTTTGTGTGAAATAGCTTATATTGGAATTTGGCACAATTTGTTTATAATGATCAGGCGAAGTCTGTTCATTAAAAATTAATGTTCATTCATACTTCTAAATATTTACTATATTGTGTTTATTCTTTCTTTTTTGTGTGTGCCTTGGGTTTGAACTATGAGGGGTTTTTGTTATACTCTAAAATGTGGATGTTAAAATAAAACATCAATGAGGTTTAGCAGTCTAAAATTTAAGGAATACATTTTTGCAGTTATTAATTTAACTGCCTTGAAAAGTAACTTGATCATTTCGAATGAACATTGCATAAATTGACTGTTCTTAAATTATGTCACACTAAAATTAAACTTAAATAGACAGAAGAAAATTGTCTCCTTCGCGAGGTGATTTTTCATTGATTATTTTTAGTTCTTTAAATTATCGTTTAACTTAGTGTGGCATGGTTTACGAACAGCCCAACAACAACAACAGATGAGAACATATATGAACATAAATAATAAATGTTAAATAAAGTTAATGAATGAAATATTCGAATGAAAATGTTCTTTTAAATGAAAGTGTATACTTTATTTACAATTTTTTATGCATTAATTTATAAAAATAAAATCGATAGAATATTTCATTCATTGCAAGTAATCCATTCATTTATTCTTTACAATAACTTTTTACTTGTGCCACTCATTTAACATGATAAACAAAAAAGAGATCACCTATGTTTTACATTAACTTTTACATTTTACCTACGTATTAATTATTTGTAGTTTTCATTAATTTGTTAGTTGTTCTTAAAAATCTAAATTTAGTTTAAAATTAAGTTTTCAAAATAGTGTTATAATAAAAATAAATTATTTTAGAGTAGGAATTAAATAAAAAATTTTTAACTATCTGACTTTCAGATTTTCACACCTTTAGAAATCCAAGTCAAAGATGCTATCAAAATGTTTTTATTTATTCCTGATCTAAGCGGCCAGATTTGGATTAATTGAAAATCATTTTAATGCCGCTTCTAAACAATCGCTAAAAAGTAATTCAGGGCAAAAAGAATTTGTTTGAATAAAGTTTTTTTGTTTTATTGTTGGGGGGGGGGCACCTAAAAAAAACTTAAACTGGCAATAAGAGGATTTCCTCGAATTGTTTATCTGAAAATGTATTCGAAAAGCAGATAAATAAAACAAAATGGCTACTCTAACTGTGTGCCTTAAATGGTTTTAATGCATGGCTATAAAAATAGCTGTTTTATATGTTAAATTATTCATCGAGTTGAAACCCTCCAATATACTCCCAAGCTTCCACAATTTCAGATTTTTCTTTGTCGTCATTGAAATTAGTGTATACGCCATTTTCTTCAGGAAAGCGTTGTCGTATTGCACAAACAACACATGCCAGAACAATTTTCCTATTATATTACCCAAATTTGCTATAGGTCCACCAAGTAAACTGTTGATAAACGGAATATCTAAAAGATCTAAAAAGAAAGAGTAAAATTTCTTATAAACCTCTAAACAATTTTTACGATACTATATTTTTTGACAAAATGCAGTAAATAATTTTTTAAAACATAAAAAAGTGTATAAAAATAGTTCATTGTGTATATTTATAATATACAGAGTATTTATATTGACTTAATAATAATAATACTATATAAACAACGGAAAAATTATCTATAAACTATCTACAAAATGTCTAAATTAATGAAATATTATTTTTTGCTAGACTATACCAACTTCAAAGTATAATATTTTAATTCTGTTTAAAAAATTAATTTTCTCAATTCTTTTCAAATACCTATTGGACGTTTCTTCAAATGTTGGTGGCATCTACGATCCTTCTTTATCTTAAAAAAATTCGCTATCCATAGTGGATACGAAAGAATGCATCCAGTTATGAATCCTTCGTGTTCTGTTATACACTTCTGATCTCTAAACATAATTATTTTTACAATAAATGTTTTATTGATAGTAAAAGAATGGTTATAATTTATAAGTTTAAGTATATTTTTTGTACACAGTTGACAGGAAATAAAATAATAGTATAAAGTGTAAAAAAAACCTGTTCCAATCATTATTTCTTTAACTTCAGTGCAACACAGGCACTCTTTTTAATAAGGCGTTGTTGCACATTTTCTGCATTTATACCAGTTTTTCACACCAATATAGAGGCGATTAATTTTTGTCTCATGAATATCATGCTCAATTTGAAGTAAATTATTACATTTAGAGTTATTATACCGGTTAACTTGAACTTTTATTATCTCGAACTGTTTCATTTGGTCCCTTGAAATTGTCTAACTGATTACTATTAAAATTATCCGGTTAAGTCAAACATCGAATAACTTGAACTTCGTTAAGTCGAACGATTTTATTGTCCCTTTTGGACAAGTTTCTTTGGATAACTCAAACTTTTTGTATGGGAAATAATGAAATCAAAATAACTTTAATAAAAAATTTTGTTAAGAAGTCATTCCATAAAAAACATAAAATACTTTAAGAAAGACATTGTATTGTTTTTTTTTGTTAAACTTTTTTGAATATTATCTTTAAAGTGTACAGCGTGAATATTTTCTTTTTAAACTCAAAGTTTGTAACATGGTGATAATTGCAGCTAAGCGAAAGACCAAATTTTTTCAACACTGCCGAGCCAATAATGAATGATGAGGATTGTATCAGAAGTTTTAGGAGAAGAAAATTTTGAGGCTGAAAAAGATGAAGATATTGATGTAGATTTTTTGATTTTTTAGAACCAACTTGCCCTCAATTAGGTGATGTACGTCAAGCCCTGGAAGTACTACGAAGCTAGTACTTCCAGGTAATAACATTTCTGTCAAAGTTCGACTTATTGAGACTTCGTTTAAATCGAACTTTTGTTAAGTCGACCCATCTTACTTGGTCCCTTGGAGGTTCGAGTTATCGGGAATTAACTGTAGTTCTTCTATTTTTAAAAAGTTATATAATAAAAGTAATAAATTCAAAATTTCTTATTTATTTAGTAATCCTAAATACTTTTGTTTTTAAATATTAGGTATCTAATCAAAGTGTATCGCTAGAGGTATTTTATTTTTTTGTAGCTTTTTTTGTTTGTTTGTTGATTGATAGGCTTTTGGTTTGTTAGAACTGCTCTTGGAATTAAAATAATTGTTCTTTGATTTATATATCAATATCTTTATGTTAAAAACACAAGAAATTTGTAATGATTTAAAAATTTTATCATTTTTTTTAATCAAAAGGCTATGCAAATTGCAGAAAAATTTATTCAAGATTACAATAAAATCCTTGTTGGAATAGGAGAAGTGAGTTCTCGACTTAAAAATATAAATAGTAATTTAAAAAATGTATAAATAACATTTTAAAAATTTTTAGAATTAAAAAATAAATCAAAATTAAATAATAGTTTCATTCTAATATATTACTCTATAAATACAATTTTAAAATAATTTAATTTTGTTTATGTTTTAAAGATTGGTTTAGACTTTACACCAAGATATATAAATTCTCCAACTGATAAAGCAGTTCAGCGAGATGTATTTCAAAAGCAGGTAATTCAATTCAACCTATTTAAATACTTTTTTTTTAAATTATTCAAAGTTAAAAATTTTTCCCTTTGAGATAATACTAATCTATTGAAAATGTAGGAGTCCTGGTCATTTTATAAATAGCAATACATAGTCTTTGTCTAAAATTAATTTTGAATACCAATATATCAGATCCACAAATATGTTTGTTTTTTTAATGTATTCTAAAACACTATTAATTTTTTGTATAATGGTTTTTTATGCAAAAAAAATATTTTAAAAAACTGCTTTCTTTATAAATGCTTGTTAATGTAATTCTCAGTGCAAAAACTGAATCCTTTTACCAAAATCTGAAGAACTTCAATCAGTGGAATATTAAACATAAAATGTGGATTAAAAGTTGATGAACACAAAGTATCAAGTTATGGGTTAACACAAGTATCTAGCATAACAGTTGCTCCATGTCAAATTATTTTAAACTACAAATTTAGTTTTTAATTTTTGAAAGTGTTCACATACGTTAAAGTACCATGGCCTACTATATTATACGGCCGTATATGTTACATTTTAGAGGCCGATTCTAAGAGGCCTATTTATTAAAAAGATGGCTGCGCAACTACAGAGAAAAAAACTCATCATCCAGACTAAATGTAATTTCGAGTACAAAGAAAAGTGTATTCATCAGCGATAATTAATCATAGAGATTTGTGTATTTATAAACATATATATCTATGTATATTATACATGTTTTTGTATCTAATATATATTTTTATATTTGTACATTATACATTTAAATTGACAACACGATTTTTACAAAGAAATTTACAAAGAAAACCAAGGTTTAAATTTATGTTCTTTTATTGTTTTATCTATCTTTATGCTAATATATATATATATATATTTATATATATATATATATATATATATATATATATATATATATATATATATATATATATATATATAAAGTTATAAAGATATATATATATATATTAAATATATATATATAATATATATATTTAATATATATATATATATGTATATATAGGTATATAGGTATATATATATATATATATATATATATATATATATATATATGTGTATGTATATAGGTATATATATACATATATATATATATATATATATATATATATAAAAAGATATATATATATATATATATATATATATATATATATATATATATATATATATATATATATATATATATATATATATATATATAGATATATATATATATAGATAGATATATATAGATATATAGGGTTATTTTTCTCTCTGTCTACTTTTAAAACTTTTAACAGCATCTTTTCGTACAGTAGCATTGATTAAGTTCTGCTTATTGTTAAAAAAAACATTAATTATGATTTTAGAAGCAAAATTAAAACCCCATTTTTTGTGTATATCACAGGTAAAACAAACTGTTGGAAAGTATTTTGATAAAACAAAGCTTGATACGTCTTTGACATTAGCACCTTGTTTAGTTATTAAATCTGAAAGGTTATCTAACACTGCAAAACATCCACATGTAAAATCTTTAAGTGAAAGTGATGGTACTGTAAGACCACCTCTGGAAAGTATTTGTAGATATGGACAAATAATTATATTGCTTGTATCTGTAGCTAGCAAAGGTTTGCAATAATTACATTTGCTTCTTTTGATTAATTTTTTAGCAATGTAACCTGCTATTGTTGTTGCAACTTCTTCTGTTTCAGGTGAGAGAGTTGATTCAGATATCTCGTTTGAGTTTAAATCTAATATTGCCAGTAATTCATTATTAATTAGGTTATTGTGGTTGTTTTTTAGATCTTCATCCCAAAAATTTATATTCTCCTTAATTAAAGACCGACATGCTAAAATAATTTCAGAATGTTGAACTTCTAGTAAGCTAACTAGAAATCTTCCACCACTCATCTGTCGATATTGCAAAAATCTACGCTCTATTGGGTCACTTTGAAGCTGTGAAGTAAGTACATATAAATATCCTTCTTCAATAAGGTCATCTATAAGCATTGCTTGAGAACGCAGAGTTGTGATGAGAGCCGATGATGTTTGTTGTGATAAGGTAAAATATGGAGATTTCTGCCAAAGTTCAATCCAATTAGCTAATTGTCGAAAAAAAGTTGTTTTACCATCATTAAGAATAATCGCATTACCAAGTTTATTTGGGCTAAATCGCTCTTTAGAATTTGAAATAGTCCACCATTTGTGAAAAATTGTAAGAAAACCAGAAATGTCTTTACGTTCTGGAAAATAACTCTTGAAACCTGCAATTGTTGTTTCATCAAAAATTGATAGTGCAAGAGAAACGTTTTGCTTTTTGTTACCAGGGTGAAGACTCGGATATGAAATTTTTGGAGCTTTTCGTAAATTGCCTTGAAGTTTCTCATCTTTAGAATGTAGATGATGAAAATCTCCCCAAGTAATATAACCAGCTGGACAATTATTAGAATCATCTTTTATATTAAATGTAAAGGATGGAAAGACAAATTTTTTACAGTGTAATAAATTATTTCTGATATTTTTAACAAGATGAACACTATCATAAAATAAGTATATTTTAGAATTTGGACTATCAGGATGATTAATAGAAAAATTTGATTGATTACCAAATTTGGAACGAAGCAAACTAAATGCACTTACATTCGATTTATGATTATCGGTAACAACACCTCGAATTTTAAAACCAGATAGCGAAAGAGAACTAATAGAATCGGATATTTGATCTGAAAGCCATTTACCACTTATGTTAACTTCAGGTATTGCTTTAATAATAAAGGAATTGATTTTTTTAAACTAACTATCATAAATGCAACAACTCCTTTGTACAAAGTACCTGTATCATCTGCACCCACATAAATACCACTACAATATTGTGCTTGTTTCTGAAGATAAAATTCATCTACAATTAATATTACATCTTCATGTATTGAACCTTTCTCACGAAGTGTTTTAACAGCCTTAATTGCATCAACTCCACCTTGTTTTATTTTATTTAACAAAGAAATTGAAGGTAATGGATATGATTCTAGTAAAATTTCATATGCTTGTTTAGATGTATATCTTAATAATAAAGCATGTCTAATCATATCAGCAGAATATTGTGGTTGACCCTTGGCTTTATAGTATGTTCGACTATTTATTTCATCAAGAAGTATATTTCTATTAGAAGAAGCGGTATTTTTTATGTACGCTGCAAGATTTTCTAACATACTCAAACTAGTTAATTTAGAATTACGACCTTTACATAACCATGGAGGAAGTGGAACATTATTACCTTTATATTGCAAAGCTACACATAAGCAATAATCAATTTTTATTGATTCAAGAATTGATGGAAAAAATGTTATAGGATCAAATATTAAATTATAATAAACTACACAATTGAGATGTTTTTTAAATTTGAAACCTTCTGGTGAATGTTTAATACTTAGCATGGTCCATTCAGTAACTTTATCATTTTCAGAAAAAGAACTTAGTTCACCTTCTTGAAAAATACGACTTTTAGGAGGTCTTCTCAAAGCAATAAGCGATGGTAATGTGGAAGGACGTTTTAAGCAATCACTGGAGAAAATTTCAGGAATAGGATCTAGATTCCAATTTAACTTGCATTTTTTACCACGGATGATAAACTTTTCATTAAAATGCTTTTCACACAAAACGGAGTTTGGTGAAGGCACCCAATCAGTACGATTAACAAAATGAACCCAATAATTCAGTAACTGTTGATTTTTTAACGGAAAATGAAAAGAAGCAATTTTTTTATCTTCTAAAGAACTGTTGTATCCAGTTTTACAACCATATGCAACACACTTGTTAACCATGATATGATTCAGCTTTTTTAGTATTTATTAACTTTCTAAAACAGTTATTATTATTATATATATATATATGTATATGTGTATATGTGTATATATATATATATATATATATATATATATATATATATATATATATATATATATATATATAATTAGCAAGTTCTACTTATTATGCAAGTTGCTTTTTATTTTGCATAATATGCAAGTTTAAAATTAATAGTTTTATCATTCAACTTGTTGCCTTTTTTTGTGCGAAAATAGGCCTCTTAGAATCGGCCTCTAAAATGTAACATATACGGCCGTATAATATAGTAGGCCATGAAAGTACATATGAATATTTGATGAACCTTAAAGTTTCTAACTTCCAACCAGAGGTGTGGAGTCATAAAAAAAAGTACCTACTCCAATTGTTGAAATTTTCAGAGTACAACTCCACCTCTGACTTCGAAGCAAAATTTCGAAAAATTTTTTGAATTCTTGAAAAAAATATTACGCGATAATTAAAATAAAAAATTTTTGTTAAATATATGAATAGTTCTTTGACTATTGGAGTCGGAATCGCGGTTTTGTTTAGCAACTTCACACCCCTAAAAGTTCTTGTGATAATCAGATTTCAGTTATGCTAAAATATGTTGACTTGATTAGTTTTTATAATTTTTCTTTTTAAAATTTTTAAATTAAATAATGAACAAATTTAAAAAAATTAGTTTTAATTAAATGAAATAATTAACACTTTAAAAATAAAATTTGTGACTATAAATTATTTAACATACAAATTTATTGAAAATTATATAACATACAAATTTATTGTTAAGTAACATATAAATTTATTAATGTTACATAACACAAGTTATGTAACATATAAATTTATTAAAATTATGTAACACAAATTTATTGAAATTATGTAACATACAAGTTTGTATTATATTCTAAAATAAGAAACAAACCAAATCTAGTATTAGCTTGCATATAGGAATGATTAAATTTTTATTTTAATAGTTTGCTAAGTTGCATGTGAGATATTGGATGCCTGGGGCACTTATTGTTAATTCTTTTAGAGGACAGTTTGTTTTTTGGATCAAATACATAAAGAATCACAACATTTTCATGAAGTTATAAATTAAAAATTGAAAACATAAGTAGATGAAGGCATTATGTCGCAAAAATACAAAATTCCACTTTTTTACACAAATAAAGGTGTTTAGTAACGCTCTTTCACATAAACATAATGTTTGAACTTAATTGTTTGGTTACTATATGCCTCCATAAATATTAACATATCTTTGCTATAGAAAAATATCTAGAACAATATGTGTTCAAAACTTTAACTCCTGATATCTCAGTTTTATATTGGTGTAACATAACACCTTCATCCACTTATGTCTTCAATTGTTTGTAGAATTACAACATTTTCTTATAGTAATAAATAAAAAAAATTTAGAATTTTATTTAATATTATGAGCTAGATAGCTTTACCAAATATAGTCTTACTTAAGGTAGATAAATGGAAGATAGCAAATCGTCAAATTTCAATCAAGTTATTTAAAAATTGTGATGGTTTTAGATGTAAAACTTTGTGATATTTTTATTTACACACCCAAGTAAAATGGTTCGGTTGTCAGGTGGTACAACTTAACTATATCGTTATTGACTTTCATTTTTAATAAACATATTCTTCAGATGTTAAATTGTCTCATTAATAATATTAGATATGATATCATAATTTATTTTAAATATGATATTAATAGATGATTGTTTGAATCGGAAACTAAATGTGCTGCATGCATTTCTTTTTGAAATTTTACATAAACTCTGCAAAAATGAATTGATGTTGCTCATCAAATATAAGTTGATAAAAAATGTATGTAAGTCAGTTTAATTTGCTTGAGCAATAAATGGTTACAAAAGTTAGACTTTAAATTACTAAAATATTTTTTATTGCAAAGTAAATAGTACAAACGATTTTGATGAAAAAACGATTTTGGTTTGCATGCAATCATTAATTTAAAACACGGATATTAAACCATACAAATGCAATAATTTTTTTGCTTATCGTTGTAATAAACATTATTTTCTCTTGTCACTGTTTCTGGGTTTTTTTAAAAAAAAAAGTAAACTAATAATTTTTTCTTCAGCTCATTAATAAATAGTTCTCATTGTCTCAAGCTATCTAGTTCATAATATTAAATCTTAAATATTAAATCTCCATGTATTTGATAGCTTTTGACCTATTTGAGTTCCTAATTTGAATTAAAGTGGTGCTACATGATGGCATACAAATCCAAGGCTAAACAAAACATTGCATATGTAACATATATTATTTTATATAACTTCCCATCTATTCATCTTGTTTGTTAGGAGAAACCCAAACATGAATATAGTTAATTGTTTTAACCCTGTATAAATAAAATCATGCTTCAAATATATCTATGAAAAGTTTTTATTAAAATATTTGTAAGTAAAATACATTAGTTTTGCTTTACAATGTAGACCTTGTATTTTGTAAGGATACTACATCTTTCTTACATCATATCTCCAATTTGAACTTTACTTTATTTCATAGAAAAACTTTCATAAAGTTTGTTTATTAAAATACTTAATTTTAAGGTTGCATTAGCAAAAGAGTACGATTTGCCAATGTGAGTAAGTTTATATGATTTTCTGATACTTCTTAAAGCAAATCAAAAAACAATCATAACGCAATGATTGTTCCTTGTTTTATATTTTATGAATTTTCCATATTTTATATTTTATGATTAAAAAAATTTTGGCTTTAATTTTTTTGAATTTATTTCTTTTAACTGTGTTTTTAATTTCTTAGAAATGTTCATTCTCGCTCTGCTGGTAGACCAGTTATAGATCTGCTTATAGAACAAGGTTAAAATTAAGTAAAATTTTTATGCATTTAAATCAATCAACTTTATTTCAAATTGGCCTGCAACAAATCTTTTAAGTATAACTAATAAACAGTATGTTGGGGCAGGTTGGCCAGTTTGGTTTATTCAAAGAGTGGGAATCTAGGTGAAGATTGGTAGGACATCTTTTTAATGATTTTTGATAAGCCGAAATAATTTTAAAAACTTTTTAACAGAACTCCAATATGTTTATATATTTTAGTATATATTATCTTAGAGTATTATTTATAGAGTGTTATTTTAGTATATATTATATTAGATTATTATCTTTTGATGGTTTAAAAAGAAAATTCTTTATACTCTAAACATATTAGTGGGGCAGGTTGGATCGACCCAAGTATGGCACATTGGCCTGAAGTGAAAACTTATCCTAAACAATCTTTATTATTATTAAATAGGTTTTTTAGATTTTTATTGTAACGTTTTATGATTTGAAATGTTTTGATAATTGAATAAGAAAATTATGTTGTTATTTTTCAACTTAAAAGTTTTATAGAATTTGTTTCAACAATCTTAAACTTTTTTCTCAGTCTAAATAACCAAAATATATAAAGTAAAAAAAAAAAAAAAATTGTTCAAAAATTATGTATGCAGGGTTTTATACTTGTGAACCAATATACCCTATTTTATGTTGAGTTGGTCCATGCGGCATAAAAAAAATATTATAAATGTATTAAAAACTGATTATGAACTTTTGATAACGTTATTTTTGGATAATATAGGGCTTGTTTTCAATAAAAAATAAAATTCCTAAAAGAAAACAATAAAGAAAAGAATAGTGTGCTAACCAGCCCCAGTCTACCCTACTTAACATATTAATTAAAATCGATTCACAATATAATATAATAAACATAGATGTAAAAAGCATCATAGTTAACATTCATATAATTATCTTGTGAATTTTTGCATATATATATATATATATTATATAGTATTATTTTTAATAATCTTAGTAATAATATAATATTATTATATAAAATATTTATATTATTATAATAATATTTATTATACATTTATTATATAGAATATAATATATACAGTTTGTTTTGAACATAAAGTTTGGTTCTAATAGCTTGTTTGTTTAGGTGCAACTAAAGTCTTACTTCACGCATTTGATGGTAAAATCTCAGTTGCAATTAGAGGTGTTGAAGCCGGATACTATTTTTCTGTTCCACCTTGTATTGTAAGATCTGAACAAGTATGATCTTTTTATTAAATAATAATAACAACAGTAATATAGTTTTATAAAAAGTTATAATAAGCAGGGTTATGTTTAACTTATGTTTACAGTTTTAGCTCAGAAGTTCTTTTATATATATATATATATATATATATATATATATATATATATATATATATATATATATATATATTTGAAATTCAAAAAAATTTTAGACAAAGAAAGAGGAAAAATGAATGAAAAAATTGTTTGTTTTTTTTTCTGTAATTAGAAAAAAGCTTTTCTTTAATCAACGAAAAATTCACTTGAAATTCATTAGATTAACTTGAAATATTAAGATATGTCATAAAAAGCAAAATAACCAAAAATATTGTTAATTAGCATACAACTAAATTAACTTTGTTAAAAATGTCATGAAAAGTTATAATATCTGGATAACGATTAGTTCACAGAAATTTATTTTATCTATATTTTGTCACATGATTTTTTTTCCAACTTTTTTAAATAAAATAGAGCAAACAGTTTTTATATGGATTTGAATATTTTAAGATTTAAAATATTTTTTTTAACTTTTCTTAAAATAAACTCTTACTGTTTAAAACATTAAGGAAAGATCCTTTCCTCGATAATAAGAAAAAGTCTAATTCCTGTTTTTAGTAGACTTAAATGTCTCTTCTACTAAGTTACTTTAATAGATAACGAAATGAATACTAATCGCCTAGTTCAATCGAAACTTTTTGTTTAGGTAGGCACTTTTTTTTTTTTTTTTTTTTTTTTTTTTTTTTTTGTTTCGCTCTCAGAATTAAGCAATACTAAACTAATTATAGGTATTTTATAAAATTAAGAATTTTAAAATGGCTTATCATGCACATTGTGCCAAATCATGTCATAAACTATTTTTTTTGAAGAGAAGTTTAATGGTATCACAATTTGATGTACTAAGGTAGTTACTTGTGGAAGAAGTTGCTTGAGAATCCGTAAAAATCAAAGTCTTTGCAGAAGAAGGTGATACTGAAGATAAAGTTGAACAATACATTTTTAATTTAGCTAATGAGTAGTCTGGAAACAGATAACAGAAGAACAAGAAGAAAACTTTTTTATGGGTAAAATTCATTAAAACAATAATCAATAACATTTGCGTTTATTTTCCTGGAGTTATTGAAAATATAAAAAATGCTAAATTTAATATGAATGTTGGAATAAATTTTTTACTGAAAATATACTTAAGTTGATTGCCACATACACAAATCATTATATTGACTCCATTAAAGGTAAGATTTGTGCGAGTGTTATTAAATCCACTGACATAATTGAGGTAAGAGCATTCATTGGAGTATTATATTTAGCAAGATCATATAGAGCAATTTAACCCCTCTTCCTCTCTCTCATTCCCCAACCCAACACACTAAAATTGCATAACTATGTTTATTTTTTAAACTTGTCAAACTCAATACTTTTGTTTAAAAAAAAAAGAAATCAAGTTTTAGGAGAGATATCGAATGAGAGATAGTAAAACCACGTACGTCTTTAACCTCCTCCCCTCCTTGTACGCATTTGTACATTTTTGGGCACCCAAACACCCTTGTAATTTCTACGACAATGTTTGATTTGTTGAATTGTTATGGTTTTCTTTTAGATATCAATCAATTTCAATAAATCTTGTAAATTTATTAAAATACTACTTCTAGTAGTTTTTTCAGAAAGCATTATTAAAATAAAAAAAATTTAGTATTTTTTTTACGATAAAAATAACGTAAAGCTAATTTAAATACGCTATATCCTATCACTAAAAAGCTCATTATAATGAGCTTTCTACGTTAGATAATGTTCATTAGTTATAAATTATTATTTGTAACTAATGTACATTACCTAACGTAGGTAATGATGTCTACTTACACATAAGATCATTTAAAGAAATCTTAGAATCAAGATAATTTTTCCCCTTATCAAAATTATCGCTTTGATGACAATTACAAAATTCTCTATTTGGTCATTAAAATATTTCAATTTTAATAGAGAAATGATCAAGATAATTTTTATCTTGATCATTTCTCTATTAAAATTGAGGAATGGCGCCAATTCATTTTTTTGGTCTTTGAGATAGCTAACTTCCAGACATGGAGCAAACTCTAAACATTTATATATTTATACTTATGTCAAAAAAGAACGCTTTGGAAAAAATTGCGATGATTGGAGCCTGGGAACAAAAAAGATCCAAAACTTTCGCCCTCTCCTGCCCCAAAGATGAGAGCAACAAACTGATAAAATATTTTTTTGTACTATTTTCGACTAGACTTATATTCATCGATAAATTTTAAGTTTCATCGTATTATCTCTCAGCTTTCAAAAATTATGAAAATATAAAATTTGCAACCCCCTCAAATTAAGGAGTGTTCAAACTTGATATGGTCATAATTTTTGAACGCTAAAATATTTTACTATAAAATTTAAAAAATTGAGTTGGCGCCACTGATCCAGAATATAAGAACTTTTTTTGTTAATGTTAACTGGAATAAAAAAAATTTTTACTTCGATACAATTGTAACAGCTTACAATTTAAGTATCTTATCAAAGTTACCTTAAAAAGTAATTTTGATATTTATTGTGACACTGATAACAAATGCTATTTAATTTTAGAAGCAGAAGTTAGTCGCTGCGATTCCTTTGTCAAATTTATTATTGGAGACTGATGCCCCTGCTTTAGGTCCAAGCATTACGGTAACTAGAGGCTTATCCTGAAAAGTTTTTTTATTTCAAAAATTTTTTATTGTGTTTTAGAAATATTTGTTCTTTTTTTTTCAACTTTCTTATACAGCTATATTTTTAGAAGATTGACAAAAATTTTTTACACATCTTTAGATGCGAAATGTTCCTGCTAATATAATGATTTCATGCCGCGAAGTTGCTCGAATTAAAAATATTTCCTTCGAAGAAGTCTTTTTTCAAACAAGTCAAAACGCACGAAAATTATTTGATAAAATTAAGTAAATTTCCAAATTATAAACCGCTTTTAAGTTGAGTTTTTTTGTGTACGAGGTGTTGAAATCTTATTTAACTTTTTTTTAACTTAACGTTACTTCAAACCAGTTTTTTCATACTCATCTTAATTTTATCTTCAAGTTTAATCGAACCTATTTTATTTCCGTAATTTGATTTATTTAGCATTTTTCAGTGTTTTTAAAAATCTTGATAGAACATCACGTAGGCGCGACGTACCTTTAACGTTTATACTCTTGTTAATGATCTATTTACCTTTATGAGCCCTTTTGTCGAACAATATTTAACCAAGTTTCCATTGATTATCGTGCACCCCATTTTTGAAATAAAATTGTTTTGCCTACTTTTAATTTTGATCTACCTTCTTTGCATCTTTTCAAAATAAGCTGAAAAATCTTTTACTCTCCTATATTATCAAAATTTGACAAAAATATTTATATTATGGAAATACCTTTGCAACAAAGTGATGCGTGTATATTATGGAAATATTAATTATACTTCAAGTGATATGCGTGTATATATTAAGCAGCCGTGGCGCAGTGGTAGCGCACTTGCCTCTGAAACAAAGGATCCGTGGTTCAAACCCCAGTTTTGCGACATCGGTTAGGAAGGAGACCTGAACTTCCGATTAAATGCTCATCCGCGGTGCTCTGTGATAAGACCTTAAGGACTTCTTGGGACACCTAAATAAAATTAAAAAAATATATATTATTTTATTACTTTGTACTTATAGTTACTTTATAGCCTAATATTTTGTTTACACTATATATAGTATACACGAGGTTCTCAAGATACTTTATAACCTATTATTTTGTTCAAACTAGTCTAAGTTAGGTTCTGACAATAAGATCTTATTGATCTTCATTCAGACGCCTAGTTTTTCAAATTTTAGTCACATTTGCTTACTTTATAAATTGTATTTCTTTTATCTACTCTCATTATATTGTGAAAAAGAACTAACAAATGTAAACTAAAATGTTTAGAAAAAAAAAACGCCGTACTCCATATTTTTTATATATTCATGTTTTGCTACCACTAGGCCCATCCCGAAGAGGTCTTTCATGGAGGGGGGGGTGTTGTGTGTATTTTTTGCCAACTAGAGACAATAAAAAAAAGGTTCTTAATATTTCCAATTTGCCAACAACACGCTCGCGGAAAGTGAGGAGCTTTCTTTCACACCGGTGTGTCGCTGTAACTCTTAGACACAAGTGTGGAGTTATTTTGCACACTTTTGTGGAAATTAACTTTTTCTAACTCGACTTCTGCACAGAAGTGTGTAGTTATTTCCACAGAAGTGTGCAAAATAACTCCACACTTGTGTCTAGGAGTTACAGCTACACACCGGTGTGTAAGAAAACTCCGCACTTTCCTCGAGTATGTGTAGTTCAAAACTTGTTCAATGTGCCAACTCAAATGCTTATTTGACAACTTTCGGGGGGTGGGACGGCCCTAGCCATCACATGAGTTCTTTGCTGTTGTTTTGAAGATAAATGAATGGGTGAATGTTAAAAGGGCAGAATTCCAATAATGTAAACTTTTGGAAAACTAAAAAAAACTGCATTTTCCCCCGTAGTGACTTTTTATTAATGGTTCATTAACTTTTTTTTTGAAGGTAAAAAAATAAAAGCTTCAATTGAAGCATTTAATCTTTTTACTTTTTTACTGTTTATTATTTCTGGTAGTTACCAAATAAATAAGTTTTTTATTTGAAATTCCGTTATATTTGCTTGCAAATGCATTGCGTTCATCTATAACTCGTGTTGAGTTTCGTTGTTTTGGCTCATGCACAACACGCTTTCTTGATAAATCCGAGCATTTGAGTTTTCTTGAAATAGCAGGTTGAGACATGTTGAAGACTGCTGCAGAAAGATATTCTTTTATTGCTTCTTGCGTACAAAGATTGTTTTTTGTACGTTTAATTCAATAACATTTATTTAAGCGTTTATAGGTCTTTTACCTCGTTTTTTTTTTGAGAAAACAACTTGAATGCTGTCATGTCAAAATCTCCTCTGTTTAACTTAACGACAAGATTTGAACTGTGCGCTTAGATAAATTAGGAGAAGTAGACATGCTTGTTGTAGATTTATTTCTTTCAACTAAAGTTTTTCAATGTGCGCTTTTGTAACATTTTTCCTTGTTTTTCGATTGGCACTGCTATTTTCTCTTTCATCCATGCGATAAATATTTGTGTATTAATAATAATTATAAATAATTAAATTCAAATCTAGATAAATGAATAATTAGATAAAAATAATTTAATTAATCAATAAATAATAAAAAACATAATAAATAACAAAGCCCTAATACTAAATTAAGCAAGAAAAAGAGGGTATTCGTAGCTTAAATAAACCACCATCGAATGTAAACATTTAAAAAGTCTTCGTCTAAAGTATTTTTAACCTCGTTTACCAGGAAACGAGAACAATTTGTTTTAAAAAAACTGTGCTTTTTTAAAACGCATATAAGAATGAAAAGATACATAAAAATGAATAGACGCGCATATAAAAATGAATAACCCTGCATCATGGCCAGATATAGGATAATGGTTAGAAAATATGTTGTAAGATTGTATACAGAAATATATATATAAAAAAAGAACTATTGAACGTTATACAAAATACGTATAAAAGCATACACAGTTTTAACAATATTATATCATAACATTAGTAGCAGTTTAAAAGATTTACAAACGCAAAATGTTTGGGTGTAATCAGGAAAACTTTGAAAATAGCAAAATCGAGTTTACAGAATATAATATCGTTTGGAGAGGAAATTTTGAACCAACTTAGAGGTTTACCTGCTATGCCACAATATTCAAATTTTTTAAGCAAGTATTATTGATCGACCGTATCAAAAGGTTTTGACAAGTCAATGAAAACACAAAGTGTAAAATTTTGATTTTCAAAAGATTCGTTAATACAACGTGTTAATTGAAGAATAGCATATTCAGTTGAGTTGTTTTTTTAAAAACCGAACTAATTTTTATAAAATTTATTAGTAATTAGGTATGCGTACACTGTTATACACGGTGCATAGGAAGATGCTCTGAGACTTTGCAACACATGCCCAGATTTTTTTTTTTTTTTTTTTGTTTATTATTAGAAGATTCCTCCTTATTTCAAAAATGTAAAAAACAACTTTTTTCATCGGGGGTCTAGGGAGAAATCACGCATTTTAGGCGAGTACCTAGTAATTTTGTTGTTTAACTAGGTAACTAAGAGCTATATGGCATACTCAAATTTTAAGTATGTTAATACTGGTATCAAAGGAGGATGAGTTGCAAAAAGGTTTGGTAATTGGAGCTAATCCAACCCTGTCCCCACCCCGAATTGCCCCCTTAATATAATAATATTTTTTTTTTTAAGTTCTTTTATAATTTAGATCAAAAATTATCGACAGATTTCAAGTTTTATCAAAAAATATCTTTTCGTTTAAGGTTTATGACCATAAGAAGTTTAAAATTCTACCAATTTACCCCCTGAAATATCTTTGAATGGTCGTAACTTTTAAACTAGAAATTTGTTTTTGATGAAATTTAAAATTTGTTGATGAATTTTGATCTAACACAAAAATAATTTGAAAAAATCTTTTAAGGAACCATACACTAGGGGTAATGCATTAGGGGTCCAATAGGGTTAACTACAACTACTTTATCGCCGTAAAAAAAAAATTCTGGTCTATGTGGTTAAATTATTATTTATAATTTGCATCATATCATATATTAAGAAATTATGTTATTGTTCATAAGAGGTTAATATTTTACTTTTTACAAGCTACCTGCAAACTGAAAGCTACTTTAAAAGTGTTTGTAGTTGTAAGCAACAACTCTGTTTTTTAGCGCTTCAATATAGTTTGGGCTGTGTTCTCTAACTTTTCTCATTCTGATTGAACTGATTGAACACATTTTAACTTAAGATTAAAAGGGGAGGGGCGGTACATTTGTAATATTATTGAAGTTCATATATTTCACATAATTTTAAGAAAAAATAAAATTTATCACATGTATTAATGTAATTTTACTCTATACTTATGTATACTCATGTTATAAATGCATTTATTTATTTTATTTATTTATTTACATTTTTACAACTACATATTTGTTACAATTTTTTCACATCGTAATATAAGCAAAATATACTTCCGTTACAAAAGATCAAATTTAATCAAATACTGCTGAAATAAATTTAACAGAAAAAATAACACTCAGTTTAAAAAGATGAAACAATTGAAAAAAATAACTTTAGGAAGCATTAGTTGAATATATTATGAAAAACTTGTTAAGATAGATTATATTGTTGAAGGAAACCTGTAGAAGACAGGAAAAGTCTTATCATCAAGAAGCTTGGGTTATTACACAAGATACACATAAACATTATGATTCTCATGCACAAATACTTAAAATATTATTGTGATAAAATTTGTTTTTGTTTTTTCTAGTTGTATTATGATTTGTGTGTGTGTGTATTTTATTTTATTTTTATTTATTTTTTTTAATGTTTTTTAGATATATATATAAATCCGACTTTTCTCACGTTGTAGATTGTTTTAGCTCAAATTTTGATTTATCATGTGAACTAGAACAATTCTATGTAATTATTTATATCAAAAACAAGATTTTTAAGTTTTGACTTTAAAGAAAATATATTGTCAGGAAGACTAGTTAAGGTGTATTTTGGAATTAATTTGTTATATAAATTGGGGCCACGATAAGAGATTTGAGAATTGAGAGTTTTTTTTTTTCTTTCTCGGGGTACGATAAAGTTACCAGTTGCTCTAGTATGAAACTTATTGGTATTTGAATGAAAGAAGTTTTCTGTGAATCGTGAGTATATAGGTACTAATACCATTTTATATTTTAGCATAAATAGTATATTAGCATAGATATTGATTTGATAAATGTTTAGCGCTTTCATTTCTTTTAATAGAGGTTTTGTATGTGTATGTTTGTTTTTATGATATATAATTCTAGAAGCACGTTTCTGCCGTCAATAAATAGACATTAATTTTGTCTTGTGTG